CCGCCGCGGCCCCCGCCCGGGCTCCGGCATCGCTCTAGATTAACGTGCTGGACGACAGCGGCGCGGGCAGCTCGGCCAGCGTCGGTGCGCCGCCGGGGTTCTCAGACACCGCAAATCGTGGAGGAATACATTGCAAGCGAAGTCCCAGAAAAACACCGGCCGGCGGTGCTTCTCGAGTGGCCGTGACTAGTGCCGGAGATGGTCCAGGGCGGCTTGCGAAGCCGGGCCCGCGCTCCCCTGCCAAGCTCGCATAGTAAGCACCGCTTTCAGGCACCCAGGGTGTCCCTCCCTAGGTCCTGGCCCCATTTCCCCAAGGGTATTGAACGGAGAATTCCGCAGTGGAGCTGGAGACGGACGAATGTGCAGGAAGATGAGAGGGAAACCCTTCCTCACTTGCCCGAGGGGTTTGTGCTGGGAAAGGTGGGGGGCAGCCAAAGCTTCTCCTAGGACCCCGTGACTCATTTCTAACAACTTCTTAAAGGCCTCCTGTCGGGGGAGCAGACGCCCCCTAACCGCTCTCCTCTCTAACCCCCGCTGCCTGGCGGGGATGCTCCCGGCGCCTCCGCGGATGGCTGGTTAGGGACCTCTGAGGCTTCTGCTCCTCCGCCCCCCCGCCACTCGGCGACTCGGGGCGATGTTGTGAAACCGGTCGCCGGTCGCGACGCTCAGTCTCGTAATTGCTTTTACCCGGAAGAGGGTCGTGGCGGTGGAGCAGAAGTGCTCGGGCAGCCCTCAGGTGCGCGGTGGGGGAGGCTGGGGCTCGAGGGCGCAGGGTGGGGGCGAGTCCCTGTTACTCTCCGGATCTGCGCCAACCTTTCTGGGTCCCAAAGTTTCTGCCGCCCAAAAGGGCCGAGGGAGCCTGAGACGCCGCAGGACACAAGCAATCCAGCCTCTCTCCGCCTCGCTCCCCCAAACGCCTCCCACTCAGTGCGCTCCAGTGCATCTGTCACTCTCCCGCTTAATACCCCTCCATTAGGGGTCAGGTAGTGCCCGCCCTCGTCTCACGCCCCCCGCCCCGGCCCCACCAACCTCAGCCCGGGGCGAATCGCCTTACTTACAAACTTGGGCGTGGGGAAGGGGCGGGCGGCGGAACAGTGCCCGGCCCGCGTGGCGCGGACGCCCAGCATGCACCCTCTCCCCTGCGAACGGACGCCCAGCCTACATACATGAGCGCAGGGCGCGGGCCGGATGCCGAGCTCGCGGCGGGCGCGGCCCCGGGGCGACA